CCATAGTCTTGGCTTACAGACATATAAACTAATATGCTCAAAGTAGCAACTGGCTAATATATGCATAATATGATTTATCTTCTATAAAAGGGCTGTATATGCTTAAATATAAGATTATACATATATTATATGTAGGGGGTAGAAAGACATGTCAAATGTAATTGTTGAAAACAGGATTAACCTGGAAAAGGAGATAATTACTTACTTTTTTTATATTGCTTGAATTTTCATAAAAAGCCTTCATTACTTACCATAATGTATTGAAGCGTACTCTCTTTGAGTTCCTGTGCTGAAGTCCTAACCCCCATTGCTTCAGACTCTGGCCTTTTTGGTAATATGTTCACTTTCATATTTAATTAGTTATGACAAGGTCATCGTGGTGTAAGTGTCCTAATAGGGGAAATGTGAACTTAGAGACAGACTTCTGTAGAAGAAAGATGAGGAGAGCTGACACAGGGCAAAGGTGGCAACTTTTGAGCCATGGACAGAGGCTTGGAGACATCCTCCCCTCAATGTTTTTTTTTTCTGAGTGGTTGTGTGGTCTTAGGAAAATTACAGAACCTTTCTGATCTGTGGCCTTCATGTGACTGGTGTGTGTGATTCCCAGATAGGAAGCGCCCATTTGCTATCTAGAACAATTTGACTCAGAATTTTATTATTGTTATCATTGTTTGTGATAGTTAATCTTGGTTGTCAACTTGATGACACCTGGAATCAACTAAAATCCAAGCAGCTGGGAACAGTTGCAAGGGATTTTTCTTGTTTGGATCATTTGAAGTGGAAAGACCTACCCTAAGCTAGGCCACACTTTTTGTTGGCACTCCACATAAAAGGATGTGGAATGAGGAAGCTTTAGCTTTTTGCCTTTTTGTATTTGCTCTCACTGGCCATTTTATTTATCCTGCTCCTGAGGCATTTCTTTCTTGATTTAGATCCAACTTCTTTGGGATTCTGACTTAGATTGAAGACCAGATAAGACATCCAACCTCATGAACTGAACAACTACTGAATTCTTGGCCTTTCCATCAGGAGACAGCTATTATTCCATTGTTGGAATAGCTGGGCCATAGTCTGTAAGCCACTCATACACACACACACACACACACACACACACACACACACACACACACACGAATGAATATATATATGTTCATACATTCTATAAGTTTTGTTCCTCTAGAGAACTCTGAATAATACATTGTTGTTTCTAACTAGTCCATAGTTCTAAAGCTAATATGGTAAAATAAATATGCAAACAGAGGCTGCAATGACTCGTTGGTTAAGAGCACTGGCTGCTCTTCCAGAAGGATCCAGCTTTAACAACACTTGCTTTTGTACTTTCATCCTTCTGAACTGTTAGTCAATGACTTTCTGTTTCTAAACTTACCCAGCTATGGTAACCATAGCAACAAACACAATTACTTTTGTAAGTTTGTTCATGTAAGACAGTTATTAAGAACACACAATGTGCCAGAGACTGCATTATTTTATTCAGTCTCCCAGAAATGCTGGATGGTGAGAATAAATATCTGCTTTCTACAGAGAAACTGTAGTTCACAGGTCAGTAAGCCTTCCATTTGGGAATAATGTTGGCGGTAGAAGTTGGATTCCTCGTCTGACTGCCCTGGGGACCTGCACTGGAGTTTTCAGTGCTGAATCTCATGGTTGATCTTGCTTTTGCCCCTTTCATCTCTGTAGTGAGAATTCAGTAAGAAGTGAGTTCTTCCCTCCCTGTGTCTGTGATGTTACTACACAGCATAGAGTGAGATTGTGCAGAGTGCATGATACCAAAGTGGAATGATTCAGTGGACTATCTTTTTACTTTAGTATATTGGAAAGACAGTGAACAGCACTTACAACCCTTCCTTAGTCGTTCTCAACATTTAATGTCTATTTTTACCTTGCCAGTTATCTAAAACAGAGAGCTAAAAAACAGAAATACATAAGAGGCATTTTAGAACTCATATTATGACTTAATCATTGGCAAGTAGTTTGAGTCAGTGACATATTTCAGAGTTTACCAATGATAAATCAAATGGAACTTAACTAAGTCCTGATACAGATGTTATACTTTCCTTTAGTGTAGTCAGGAAGCATCTCTGTTTTATCTACACACACACACACACACACACACACACACACACACACTATTTCACTTTGTGTTGACAGTACTCCTCTTAAGAGCCATAAACTAGCTAACAAAACCCCAATACAAGGGATGGGAAACTGCTCTGAGTTTTTGTCAGTGTAGAGTAAGAGACTCCAAAAGCAATACAGACGATGATTTTGTCCTTGTTGCCTCCCAAAGGTTTAAGGTAAGTCCGTATTGCTGAGGAGCCACATGCTTAAGACATGGGACTTGAAAGATTTGGGCAGGATCTAACCTGAAAGCCTCTTTCAGTTTTCTAGCTTTCATGATACCAGAAGGTGCTGTGGAAGGGGAACAGTCAATGTCCTGTCCAGCTGTGATGCCATGAGCCACAATAATGACCAGCATGGCAAGAGATCTCCAAATGTGCTAGAGTGGTGCTCATATCCTGGAGTTAACCAATAGCTCTCTAACTGGACTTAAAGCCAGCTCAACTGGAGGGAAATCATGCCTGATACTAGAAACCTAGCCATTACCTGGGGTTAGTGAGGTCATGGATCTTAGAAGAAAACCTACCACTGATGATTTACTAAAACTGCAGAATCCCTAACTGAATTCTAAGTATTTATCCTTATACCCAAAGATAAGCATAGCTCTCACTCCTCATCAAAGAAGTTTCTCTTTACAGTAGATGAAGACCATTATAGAAAGGCACAACTGGTCACAATCAACTGATTGTGGGGTGCCACTCCCAACAGATACATCTACAGAACAGCTCCTGCACCCAAGCCTCAGGAAACATTACAGAAGAGGAGGCAGAAATTTATAACATCCAGTGGACCAGGAAGTTGGCTAGGACATTGTGTCTCTTGGAAATGAGGGAAGCTATACCCATGATATGCCTAGACAAGACTCGAACAAGGACAAAACCAGCAGCTATACTAATATGGAATGGGGGAAATCTCATGGGGTCTCACCCCTAGGCACAGGACTATAGACAACTAATGACTCCTGAGAAAGGGAGAAATAGTTTCTCCTAGGGATAAGCACCTTAATTAGTTATCTAATGCAAAGTAATTGGCCCTGGACTCACACGAGCAACGCTAAGAAGACCTAGCAGGTTGCTTTATATATTTATGTATGTGAACACACACACACACACACACACACACACACACACACACACACCAATAATAATCAAAGAAAAGAAGACTGAATTTGAAGGGAGTGAGGGGCTGGGGATTATGGGTGATACTAAAAAAAAAAATTATTTTTATTTAGCTCTTGATACAAAAGTTTTCATCAGTTACCAGACCATTGCTGCATTAAAAAGTTCAGTTTCCTAAAGTTTAAAAAGAATGTATGAAAAATTTAAAATGGAGAGAAAAAAAAGAATGTTTTGACACCATTGGTATAGGCACAGCAGAGGCTGTTTAGGGAAGCAGCGTTTCAGTACAGCAGAGGAGTATACTGCTCACCATTTCAGCTTAACTGTGGCCTGAGAGAAGCCTGTTGCTAGGGAGGGGCTACTCATAATACTTCAATGGGGGTAAGCCCCATGTTTTCTCAGTGCTGTATATAAGGACACTATTATTTTTTTACTTCAGTCATGACACCTTAATTTTGTTTTGGTAATGAATCTATGTGTTTCATCACTGCCACAGTCTGATGCTGTGTAAACATCTGTAAGGGTTAGAACCCCATTTTGGTAACCTGTTAAAACCGTAGAGTACCAAAGAGCAGAACTGGACCCTACTGTGACTCCAGACTGATTTATGACAATGTGCCAATGCAGGTTCTTTGATTAGCCACATGGACCAATGGTGCTTTTGTGTTTTTAAGATTGTGGTGTGGTGTGTGGTGTGGTGTGTGTGTGTGGGTGGTGGTAGGGTGTATGTGTGTACTGAGAGCAAAATATCCAGTTTCTGTCTCTCTCTCTCTCTTTTTTTTTTTTTAGCAGAAATGCACCCCAATACCTCTTTACTAATATTTGTGTTGGTTTTGCTTCCAAATGTGTCTCAGAAGAAGCAAATTACTTTTAGACTATAACCTGGCCTTTGTATGTGTAAGATAGGAAATATCAACCTAAATTCCTTTCAGAAATGCTACTTGTTGGGAAACCTTTATAAACAATTTGCCAATGGGCAGAACCAGACTTTGGGTCCAATTCCAAGTCCGTTCTTTGGCATCTCTCTACTCACTTGGGCTGCATCTTCTTCCCAGGCCTGGTGTCTTTAAGGCCTCTCAACTCTCCAGAATTCCTTCATATCCTTGTTTTACTTCAGTTCGTTCTTGCAGTTTTAGCTCACACATCCTCTGCTTGGCTGTGTCCTGCTCTTGGCTAATAGGTACTGGAGAAGGAATGGCGTTATTGACTAAATGCATTGCGCCTGCATTTTAATGGGCTTCTGTAATGATGTCTTAAAACACAGCGGTGACTGGAGGCAGAAATCTAAGCCTTCTGGCAGGTGGGTGGGAATGATCTCTTTAGGCAGGTTAGAGCTTTGCCACTCTGGAGTCATGTGCCTTGAGGTAGCTCTCAGTACTTTTCCTTTAGGGTCACCAGTATCAATAGTTAAATGTTTTTGTTTTTTCACTTACTAGTAAATATTAGTTTCCATTTCTAAATTCCCAGGCATCTCCCTTACTACGGAAACAAATAAAAGTCAAATGATTATGTCATTCTTTCTAGCTTTGTTAGTCAGAAAGACATGAGGATAGCTAACCACAGTGCTGAAGAGCTCAGGACCATTTTTTTTTTGCCCCGTAATCATCCCCATTTCACATTCCAGACAGTGGTGTGAAACTTGTGAGGTTTCTTTGTCAACTTAGCCTGGCCTACTTTCTAAAAACAAGGAAGTGATGGGCTGGTAATCTCAAGCAATTAGTGGATACAGCTACCTCCTGAAAAATCAAACCTATAATGCAAAACGAAGTAGAAACATCAGTTAGACATCCATTTGACAGTTTTTGTTAGCTTAGAAGTTTGGCAATATGCTTTCCACAGTTCCTGGATACAATCCAGCTTCTACTTTTTTTTTTTTTTGACAATAAAGTCATGAAAGAAAAGGGGAGTTGGTAAGTAATGCATAATATTTATCTATCAGCTAGGAGTGAATTGAGGGTGCTGTTGGTGGTGTCTTTGATGTTGGGAATTGAAATAAAACAGAAGGGGAGATACAGTCCTTGATCTCAAGTAATTTATAGCTTGTTTTTGTTAACCCAAAGAAATTTGTTTAATAAACCCAGCAGAAAATAAAAATATGACGGGCCAGCCTGGGCACAAATATTTTTACCTGCCCCGTCTCTAGGTGTTCCCAGTTTTACCTATGTGGGAGAATGAGGCTGTCTTCAATGTTAACTCACAAATCCTGGGATCCAGAGCTCTCTGGACCCAAGTCCACAGCTTACAGCACAGCCTCTGAAGCTAAGCTAACCAGAGCAGGGTTATTGTGATGGTCAAGAACTCATGGAAAAAAGACAAAGTTGAAAAGTCCTTTATTTACACCAAGTGCTTCTGCCTTAGGATGGCAGGCTCATAGTGATTCTGTGCTATTCATTTCAAAGCAAGGGCCCTCTTTGCTATCCAAAGAAGCCTGAGCACTGTTACAAATCCCTCTGCCTCATTTTGAGATAGCATGCATTTAAACATTAAAAACTGCATAAACAGCATGAAGAGGACAATGCATTTCCATTATATGAGTGCTAGATGCTGATAGATGCCTCATAATTTATACAGGCAAGGGATTTTCAATATCTAAAAGTAATTGCAGATAGTCACAGCAGCTGCAGAACATTCTGTTCTAATTTATTATTTGCTGTTGGAAAGCAAATTTATTTATTGTAACCAAAAGATGCATTACAGGGTTATTTCATACATGGCAGACTTTCAAAGTCTAGCAATGATGACATTGATATAGTGCCACTACTCTGTTATAACCTTTGTATATTATTTAAGTGTAACAAATACTTCATTCATTGCTCGCCCTAAACTTTGCATTGGCTGACATTCTTGCTGCTGTGTTAATATCGGGTCTATTAAGCTGGACCTCATGGTCCATTACCCTTTCTTTAGATTTGACCCCATGAAGCTCGGAGGTCTTCAGCACAGTGTGAAACAGCACAGGGTCCCACTCTCACCAAGGAGCTCATTAGGACTTTACAGGGGCACAATAAATACCCACACAGGGCTAACATTTGCGCTGAGGGATGCTCAGCAGACGCGCAGCCTGGTGTCAGGAGGTACTTATTGTTCCCTTTATCCAGGCCCGCACACTGATTCAGTCTGCTCACTAAAAGGGACGCTCATTTATAATCGACCATTTTTTTTTTTAACCTTTGGAGGCAGGATTCATTTACTGGTATTTTAGCTTTGTGGGCTTTCCTCTCAGCTTCCTATGTCTTGATCCATTTCTTAAGGTTTGTATTTACATTTTAGACTGCCTCGTCTCCATCAATCGCCACAGTTCATGAAAGAATTCCAGCGAGAGCCATGAACGGCAGGGTCTGGACAGGAGGCTTTTATTTGGTCATAAATGACACTGAGATTCTTCAAGCCCATTTGCATTAACATTCACGGTTTTGATAATACAGGTAAAGTCTGTGGGGTTACTTTACAGGGGAGCTACTCGTGGGACTTGTTTAGCTTTAATTTTAAAGGCTAATGTGCATTATCCTCTGGTTTACCTTCTGTTATATTTATGTGACATGGTAAGGAGCTATGCCGTTACAGATGTCAAGGGAGGCTTGACTAGGTTTTACTGACAAGACGCCACAGCTAAGTTTCCCTCTTTAAAGATACTCGAGGCTGGTGGCATCAGGAACACCTTTGTCCGGGGGTGGTGTAGGTGGGATGAAGTGGGATTTCCATACAGAGGCAGGGGAACCCTTGCACTAGGGAGGGCTTTTCTGAGGAGAGTCCTGAGACTCCAAGTTTACTATTCAAGTTAATCAGATTTTCTTGGGCAGAATGCCTCTGGAGTCCCACACAAAGAGCCCTTTCCTCTCTCTTACTCTGCAAATTACTTAGCGAAAACACTGGATTAGACAAGACAAAAGAGGGTTTTCCCTGCCTGTGTCAATCAAGATTTGATGGGTTTGGTTTTTGTTTCTAAAACAAAAAAAGGAAGGGACAACTTAGTTTTACAAAGTTTGGATTAATCCTCTCACCTCCCGCATTGCTTTCCAAGAAAATTCTGCTGCAAGCTTGGGAAAAGGAACTGGTAACTCAATGAATTCCAACTACTGGCCACGTGATAAGACAACCAGAGACCAAACAACTCTGATTTTTATTAACTAGCTAGTCTTCAAAAGGAAGAGTGACTTAGAATACACAATAGCTTTCTCTTTGGTGTATGCCAAGAACACTAACCATTTTTTTTATGTGTTGGGAATTCTGTTATACATATCAAAATCAAACGATCAAAAATATAATCAAGCATATTCTAGAAGGCCTTTACTCTCAGTTACTTAGAGGGCTGAGGCAGGAGGATCACTGGTTTGATGCCTGCCTGGGCTGCAGAATGAGCTGAGGGCTAGCTCAGTCAATTTAATAAGGACTAGTCACAAAGAAATGAGAAAAGGATTAAAGCCACAGCTAATGGTACAGTGTCCGCTTACCATCGAGAGACTCCGAAGTTAGCTCCCACAACTAAAAAAAAAAAGCGCGCAGGGGGTGGGGGGATTACACTAGAAATGATCAGTCTGCTCAGGTAGACCCTACTTGTAGCACGAATCTTAAAAGGTCTTATTAATACAAACAAACCTGGTGCCAGTTATTGGGATGAATGCTGGAAGATCAGAGAAGCAGAACAAGCCATAGCCACCTCACCTCGACAACTTTTTTCCTGTTTCCTCCAAACTGGAAGCCTCTGAGTCATTATCTGGAATGGATTTCAGCTGAACTGCTGTTAAAAGCCTAAAAGCTTAAAAAGCCAAAGTTCCTTATGGACCTTTCTGCTTTCTGTCATCATTTTCTGGGATTGAAGGTGTGTGTCTTTCCCAAGCAAAGACATGAGATCTCAAGTGCTGGGATTAAAGGTGTGTGCCACCACACCTGACTCTGTTCCTAGTGTGGCCTTGAACTCAGAGAGATCCACACGGATCTCTGCCTCCCAAGTGATAGGATTAAAGGCATGTGTGCCACCATTTTCTGGTCTCTATGTCTATCTAGTGGCTGTTCTGTTCTCTGACCCCAGATAAGTTTATTAGGGTACACAATATATTGGGGAACACAATATCACCACACCTACTAACCATCATCCAACACAGCAATGAATCTTGAAGTCACTGAAAGGGAGGTTAGCTGGAGTGGGAAAGTGGGGAGAATCCAATGAGGTGGAAGAAGGAGAGGATTAGGCTCTGAAGAAAATCTCCAGCAGTTAGTTGAGGAAAAGCCTTTGGGGAAGACGGCACAACACATAGAAAGACTCACGTCTGAAGGTTCGTGGTGGATACCTGGAGTAGCTCCTGTAGTGTGCGAGGCACAGGGTCCGGAGGTGGGTTTGGGAGAGTAATCTGGGACCAGAGTGTGAAAGGCTCAAAGCTGTGATGCCAAGAATGGATTTGAGATTTCCCTTGAGGGCGCTGATGGATTTTCAAGATCTGTAGAAGAAACTCAAAGAAAACACCAATATAGTCAGATCAATGCTGTACGTAGAATATTGGTGAGGAGGTGGAAGGTGATTTAGAGTGGAGAAACTCATTCAAGGAGAATGAAAAAGTGACTGTTTTAGGAATCCATGAGATAATCCACAAGGGTCTAAGAAAGGGCAGGCAGCAAAAACCGTTGCTGAAGAAAAGAGCCTGTTTGGAGAAGGCAGGATCTGCCCTGTGCTTAAAAAGCTCACGTGAGATGCAGTGGTGGGCATGAGGAAGTGACTCAATGCAGGAAATGGGAGCAGCGGCAGGGCAGGCTGTAGTGTGGGATGGAGAATGATCCCACGGAGAGCTGGGTGCTTTTGAGTCTCCAGCCTTCAGCTACATCGGCGCTTTCTCTTAACCTCGCTCTGCTTTGCCTTCTGGGCTGTCAGGCACTGGCTGCTGGAGGAAGGGCCACAGGGTCCCTGTAACCGGCTTCTAACCGGGAGCTCTGTAAGAAGCCCTGTGCCTGAGGCTTCCAGAGCCGGCTTCCTCCAGCTGCACAGGAAGAATTAGCTGCTGCAAATCTGAAGATCCCTGAAGGCCTAAACCAACAAAAACCATCTCTCTCTAAACCTGGGGTGGGTTTAGTTATTCTACTGTGCATGCGCTATGAGGAAGGCAGTGCTGGAGGAGCGCCCTGCCCCCATTCCTGAACTTTTGGCAGGATTAAGAACTGGAAAATATGATTTATTTGGGGGATTTTTTCCCCCAGGAAGCACATATTTTATAAGTGTTCTAATTGCACAGATGTGATGTGCTCTGCTAATTGTTGTAACAGAAGCCTGAGCTGGTAAGATCAATAGCTGCTCCTGGCTGAGAGACTTTTGTTTAAATGCTAGATTTTGACTTCCATGCCCAAGAAAAGTCTGAGTGCTTTGATGGCTAGTTTTAGATTTTTTTGTTTTGTTTTGTTTTGTTTTTCGAGACAGGGTTTCTCTGTGTAGTTTTGGTGCCTGTCCTGGATCTTATTCTGTAGACCAGGTTGGCCTCGAACTCACAGAGATCCTCTTGGCTCTGCCTCCTGGGTGCGGGGATCAAAGGCATGCGCCACCACCGCCTGGCTCCAGTTTTAGATTTTATGCTTCTTTTGTGTGCGTGTCATAAATCCATACACTTCTCGTGTAACAAACTATTGCTTGGCCATCTGGCTTACTCAGCATTATTTAAAACTGAAGAGGACAAAGATTTGAGAAATATTTTCCCCCTTCCATGGGGAAAGCAGCTTTTGGAGGGTATAGACTTGTGCATACTTCACAATGGGCAGGAGTTAGAAATTGGCTGGGGAAGATGTCCCAGTGGATAAAGTGCTTGCCCCACAAGTATGAAGACTGGAATTGAGATCCTTCAAGCCCACGTAAACTCTGGGCAGGCATGATGGCTCCCTATAAACCCATCATTTGGGTGGTAGAGAACGGAGGGCCTTGAAACAAGCTGGGTAGCAAAGACTACCTGGAATCAGTGATCTCTGGGTTCAGGGGAAAACCTTGCCTCAGTAAATAAAATGGGGCAATCAAGGAAGGTGCTCAACATCAACTTTGGCTCTTTGTACGCACGTGGACATATGTGCACTTGTACCTGTGGACCCATGTGAGCTCACACATATGCAAACTATATATACACATGCCAGAAGTTGTTAAGACCCACCCAAATATCACCATTAGCTAAATGGGTGAACACAGTGTGGTGTATCCCTGTGGTAGAATGTTATTCACCCATAAAAGGAAATGGTGCTGTGATCCATGCAACGATATGACTTGTTAGATACATTCCTAGTGAATGAGGTCAGAAAACAAAGAGCGCATCTGGCATAATATCATTTACATGAAATGTAAACTTTGGCAGTAAAGGAAAAATCTATGGGGACAGAAAGCAAGTTGGGGTGAGCGGGGTCAGGGGAGTGGAGGCTGGCGAGCAAAAGCTTCAAGTGTCTGGGATTTCTGCATTAAGGAAGTGAAGTTCTGAAGCAGGCAGTAGTGATGGGCACACAACATTGTGGATGTACTTAACGTTCTGAACTGTACACTTCAAAATCACTCATACGGTTAGCAGCATCTGTAATTTTTTCCACAGTAAGAACACATTTAAAAATAAATTAATATTTGTTGTAGAAATCATGTGCACAGAATCCCATGAGAGTTAATGCTGTTGAATAAAATACTTTAAAAAATATGTTAAAAATTGTGTGTGTGTGTGTGTGTGTGTGTGTGTGTGTGTGTATGGTGCATGCTGATGTGTGTGTGTGGAGGCAGAGGAAGGTGTGTCTAAAGCTCTATCATTCTCTCTCTTGCTCCCTTGAGGCAGGATCTCTCACAGAGCCTGGAGGAAGCCTTGTCTCTGCTCCCACAGTCCCGGAGTGAGAGCTGCTCACTCGGCTAGTGTTTCACATGGTTGCTACTGGTGACTCACTCCCACTCAAGTCTTCACTTTCTCACAGCCATAGCTTTTCCCTGATGAACCATCTCTGCACCTAAAAGCTTATCCTTCTGATAAAAAATATGTCTGAACTTCAAATGTAACTGGACAACTCAATGTGCTGTCTTTCTCTCATGTGACTACTCATGGGGGAGTTGGAATGTTTTCATCACTGTTTTATCCGGGTACCTTGGACAGTGTCTGGAACAATGTAGCCCTCAAGCAATACTTGTTACACAGGCATACATTTGATAACTGCATATAAAAATAGAAACTGTAGAAAGAAAATAAAATCGTTCATAGATCCACCAACCAAAGAAAATAACACCTAGAATTATCTATTTCTGTCTTGAACCCCCTACCTGCTTCTTGGTTGTGTTTTTTTTTTTTTTTTTTTTTACTGTAGGACATCTGCATATCTTTTTTCAATAGTGACTTCAATGTAACTATTTGTCACACTATTAGACTCTCCCAATAAACACCAATTTAAAATTGGAATAATATTGTGTTCTTTGGGCATATTAATTTGCTTGACTGCC